GTTGTGAGGGAGGTGCTGGACCCAGGTGCTGGTAATTGAACTCTGGACCTCTACGAGAGCAGTGTTAACTGCTGAGCTATCTCTCCAGCCCATAGACGCAAAGCTGCAAGATCCGGGATCTATATAATCACGCGAAATCCTTCTATCCCATGATAAGCCAGGAACTCACTAGGCCTTCCCTCTGCTGAGCCAACACAGACCGAGGAGTGGCCCAGGTCTTGATCACCCACTCCCAGTTTTGTGCCCGTCTGAGAGGGTAGGCAGGGGCCTCAGCCCTGGGAGCTTTTCACAAGGCCCTCACAAGCATGACTTAGTCAGTGGGGATAACAGTCATGGAATATATTACGTGCGAGCGTGCACGCACACACATACACACACACGCATGTACACACGCACGCACGCACCCAGGCTGGGCACATGGCAAACCTGCAGAAGGCTGGAATGAGTGACAGCAGCCAGTATTTGATCATCAGGCATGGTCCTAAGTGAAGCACAGCTGCATTCAATCCTTCACACCAGCCCTCTCCCCTCCCCACCACAGCTATCCCTTAACAAACAACAGAATGGTAATTTTAAAAAGGAAAATACAGGCCAGGCGGTGGTGGCACACACCTTTAATCCCGGTACTAGGGAGACAGAGGCAGGCAAATCTCTGTGAGTTCAAGGCCAGCCTGGTCTTCAGAGTGAGTTCCAGGACTGCTAAGGCTGTTACACAGAGAAACCCTGTCTCAAAAGACCAAAACACAAAAAGTAAATAAATAAAATAAAAAGGAAAATATGAAGCCTGGTGTATCAGTGGTATTATATCCTCAGACAGACTAGCTTAGCATGGGCCAGATTACACCCCACCAGGAGGAGAATTCAAGCCCACCCTACTTTAGCACATCCATGGGTGCTGGGGTCTCCTTTGTGTTCATCTTCACATCTGCTAAGGTATTTAGTCATGGGCTGTGGTAGTTTTAATAAAACAGTCCCCACAGAATCATATATTTGAGTGTTTAGTCACCAAGGAGCGGGACTCTGAAAGAATGATAAGGAATGATAAGGATTAGGAGGCATGGCTCTGTTGGAGTAGGCATGACTTTGGAGAAAGTGTGTCACTGGGGGCGGGCTTTGGGGTTTCAAAAACCTTACACCAGCCCCAGGCATTCTCTGCCATCCTGCTGCATGCCACCAGCATGGAGCTCTTAGCTACTGCTCCAGCTCCATGCATGCCGCCATGTTCTCCGTTGTGGTGATAATGGACTAAGCTTCTGAAACTGTAAGCCAGCCCCCAATTAAATGCTTTCCTTATAATAGTTGCCTTGGTCATGGTGTCTCTTTACAGCAATAGAAACCCTAAGGACGGAATTAAGTATGGGGCAGTCGGCTCTTGGAGGAAGTTTAGGAACTCAGATTTGAAAACCGAGGTCTTGATCATATATCAGGGATCCACCTTCACCCAAGAGGCCGCCCACCTCCAGCACCAACTTAGTGAATGCGGAGGGTGTGCTGGGTGAGTGGAGGGCTCATCTCTTCATTCCTGGAGAACATTGCCTATGGCATGTGCCACATGCCACACATAGGATAAAATGACAAATGGCAGCCATGGGAAGGTAGGTCATCGGAAAAGTATGCAGCATCCCAGAGAGTCACATAGTACTTGCCCTCTGACTTGGAATGATGCAAGATTCTGCTGTCCCAGCACGGGGTAGCAAGTGATGATCAGGGGGCATTTAGGTAACTCAGGAATTCAGTGACTTGGTCAGGGCCAGCATGGGAAAGCATTGTGTATTATTAATTTAGAATGCAGGGGTTGGGGGCTGGAGGGATGGCTTAGAGGTTCAGAATACTGGCTGATCTTTCAGAGGTCCTGAGTTCAGTTCCCAGCAACCACATGGTGGCTCACAATCACCCATAATGAGATCTAGTGCCCTCTTCTGGCCTGCAGACATACATGCAGTACAGAACACTGTATACATAATACATCTTTTTTAAAAATGCAGGAGCTGAGTGATCTTTGGTATTAAAGTCAATGTACCTGTTTTGCAGACACTAGCTAGGCTGAACCACATTTCAGATAATAAGCAAAAATCGCCGGTCAAAATAGTGACTTTTATTATGATCTTTTTAAAAAATATTTATTTCTGTACTTTATGTATATGAGTGCTCTATCTGCATGTATGCCTGCATGTACACCTGCATGCCAGATCAGGATTCCACTATAGATGACTGTGAGTGTGAGGCAACCTGTAGCTGCTAAGAACTGAACTCAGAACCTCTGGAAGAGCAACTGGTACTCTTAACTGCTGAGCCATCTCTCCAGCCCCTCATTATAATCCTTTAATACCTGTGTATTAAGTGCATTGATCATACTTACTCATCCCTGTTTCCCATTTGTGTCTTCTGTCACCCCTCCCAGTGGTCTCCTTATCATGCCTTAGTGACCTCTGATGTGGGAGTCCCCTCTGTATGCTGTGAATACCATTGGTTAATAAAGACTGTCTTGGGCCTGCGCAGGGAATAGAGGTAGGCGGGGAAACTAAACTGAATGCTGGGAGAAAGGAGGCAGAGTCAGAAAGAAGCCATGGAGCCACTGGAGACAGACATGCTGAAACTTTGCTGGTAGGCTACGATCCTATGGTAAAATATAAATAGTGGAGATGGGTTAATTCTAGATGTAAGAGCTAGCAAGCAATAAGCTTCAGTAATTGGTCAAGCAATGATTTAAATAATATGGTTTCTGTGTGATTATTTCAGGTCTGAGCTTCCGGGCAGCTGGGAAACAAGCAGCCTCATTACAACAGACACCCCTTTTTCTTGCTTTTTTCTTTTAGATTCCACACATGAACAAGAACATGCGGTGTGCTTTTTCTGATCCTAGCTCATTTCACTTAACACGTGATCTCTCATCTCACCTATTTTTCCGTTGGTTGCATAATTCTGTTTTTTAATGGCTGTATAATACTCCATTATATATATATATTCATACCATGCTTTTTGCTTATTCATCTGATGGACATCTTGTTCAGTTCCATGTCTTTACTATTGTGGGTAAACTATAATAAGCCTGGGTGTGAAGCTGCCTGTATTGCTTTGTAGCTTTCCTCTTCCTCCTCTTCCTCCTGCCGTCTTTCCAGGCTAGTCCCCACATACAGGAGATGCCCTTGAACTTCTGATTCTGTCTCCTCCATCTCCTAAGTGCTAGGATTACAGATGTGTGTCACCATGCCCAGATGATGAGGCGCTAGACACTGAATCCTGGCGGCTTTCATATTCACTAGCCATTTCTGCCGTGTACTGCTTCTTATTCTTTCAGGAATACACCCAGGATCATATGGTGCTTTGACTTAAATTCTTGGTGAATCTTTCATACTGACTTCCACAGTGGCTGTATCAGTTTGCCTCCCCACCCACACTGTATAAGCATCCCACTTTCTCTACATTTTTTAACAGCATCTGCTTTCTTGACGCCAGCCATTCTGACTCGGATGAGACAGAATTTCATTGTAATTTTGACTTTCATTTCCCTGATGACTAAAAACATTGACCAGAAAAAACCAGACTCAACAGGTTGCATTTATACATATTTGTATACACACATGCATACATACACACGCATGTGCATGTAATAATAATAGTGAAAGAAAGGAGGCTATTAATGAGAATTGGGCACATGGGAGTGGTTCAAGAAAGAGTAACTGGAAGGGGTCTGAGGAAGGAAAGGGTAAAGTGATATAATTCTATTTCAATAAAAACGTATTAAAATTGTTGAATAAATGTATTTATTGTTTTATGTACTCATTGGACATTTGTATCTCTTGATTTGAATAGTATCTTTTAGTTCATTTGTTTATTTATTGATTAGGCTATTTGTTCATTCAGTGTTTTACTATTGTCTTAGGGTTTTTATTGTAATGATGAAATACCATGGCCAGAAAGCAAGCTGGGGAGGAAAGGATTTATTCAGCTTATACTTTTATATCACAGTTCCTCATCAAAGAAAGTCAGATCAGGAACTCAAACAGGGCAGGAACCTAAAACCATGAGCTGGTGCAGAGGCCATGGAGGGATGCTGCATACTGGCTTGCTCCACATGGCTTGCTCAGCCTGCTTCCTTATAGAACCCAGGACCAGCAGTCCAGGGATGGAACCACCTTCTGTGAACTGGACCCTCCCCCATCAATCACTAATTTATAAAATATCTGACAGGTTTGTCTACAGACTGATTTTATGAAGGCACATTTGCACCTGAGGTTCCCTTCTCTCAGAAGCTTAGGTCAGGTGACATAAAAGTAGCCAACACAATTGTTTTGAGTTTTTTTAATGTTCTGGATATTAATCCCTTATCAGGTAAATAGCTGGCAAAGATTATTTTCCATTCTATAAAATATAGGCTATTTCTCAACTCTGTCATCTCTACCTTTGCCGTAATGAAACAAATTTAATTTAATGAAGTCCAATTTGTAAATTTTTATTTTGTATTTCATGGACAGACCTTTCCGAAAACCCTGCTGGTGCCCAAGTCTTGATGTGTTTCCCCCGTGTTTTCCTGTAGTAGTTTCAAAGTTTCAGGTCTTATATTGAAGTCGTTGATGCATTTTGAATGAAAGTTTGCAAAAAGACTATTTTGTATCCAATGTATGAAGTTGGAATCTTTGTCAGAAGTCAGATGACTACAGTTGTGTTTATTCATCTCTTGGTTCTCTGCCCTGTTCCACCCTTGCTCATGGCAGGTTTTGTGCTGGTATATGTCATTTTTGTTACAATGACTCTATAGCAGAATTTGAGAGCAAATGTTAAGATACCAGTGGATGACTTCAACATCTCACTCCCACAGGTAGACAAGTTATGCAGAGAAACAAAAACAGTATCAACAACAACAAAAATAAGAATCAAGTGACCTTATAGGTAAAATGCCTATGACAGACATCTCTAGAATATTCCACTCAAACATTATAGAATACACTTTCTTCTCAGCGTCTCACAAGGGTTCCTCTAAAATAGACCACAGTGCAGAATACAAAGCAAGCCTTAACAAACAAGGAAATGGACGGGATTTCCTGTATTCCATCTGATCCCAAAGGGAGTAGAAGCCACAGTCAGATAAACGGCATGAAGTCATGGAAATCAAACAACATTCTATTGATTAACAAAAGGGTCACCAAGGACATCAGAAGACAGATAAGTTTGAAAATTCCGGGGATTGAATGGAAAATGCAAACAAATATACTTACACCTATGATGCAATGAAAGCGGTTCTGGGAGAAGACTTCATAGCTTCAAATGCCTAGATTAAAAAAAATCCAGAAAATAATGAAGATCAAGGCAGAAATGGTGAAAATGCAAAGAATATTACAGAGAATTAATGAAATATGACTTGATTCTTTGAAGTGAGACACAATACTGGAAAAACTCATAGCTGAAGGGCGTGGTCCAAAAATAAGAAAGAAAACTCAAGTCAAAAAATTTGTAATAACAGCCTTGCTAATTTTGTTGAAGATAGCTATTCTTTTCTGGCACACACAAAGCCCTAGGTTCAACCCCCAGCACTGCAAGAAGCTCATGGGTCTCAAGAAATGATAATGTAAATTATAATAATGTAAGCTCTTTAGTGTGAAGGGCCGCATCCCACATGTCCCATTACAAGATGGCGCTGACATCCGGTTTCACCGCCAGGTGAACGCATATGTGCTAGGTAACTTTCCACTGAGTCCCCGCCTACTCCCGAGGCATCATCTGGGATAATGGACAGTTGACCAATCCAAGAGCAACATGTCCGAAGCAAGGACTGTTTCCTATATAAGGGATGGGTTCCTTCATATCTGGGTCTCTGCCATGTTGGCTGATATTCTCTCTCCCAAGGGACATTAAAGCTATTTCTGCAGAAGGATCCTAGTGTCCCGCATGGTTCTTGCTGGCGAGACGGTAGCGTGGGGCATTTGGTGCCGAAACCCGAGAAGAAAAACTCTGCACCGCCGGAGACTAGGAGGGATTCAGAACTGCAGGTATGCATGCTCAGAGAGGTATGACTCTGAAGTCCAGATAGCATATCAGAAACTGAGCAACAATGGGAGGTTGTGCGCGCGCACCCAGATAAGTCAAAAATGACCCCCGATGGTTCTAAAAATGGGGGAGAAGACTGATCTACAAGGTCAAAAGCTTTATGTTATGTTGTTCATGTTGTCTTTTGTGTACCAGACAGGAGAAAGATATTTAAATTTAGAAACTGCTAAGGATATGATGTTTTGGAAAAGAGGTTCTGTTTTCATCTCCACAGAAAATGAGAGCCTAAAGGTGTACTTGGGATTTATGTGGTTTGAATCACCGAGACCTCCGGAAATGTTGTAGTGTATACCCCTAAAATGCAATGTCCCAATTCAGCAGGAAATAGCCAGAGAGACTGATGACGCCCAAATTCCCTAAAAGATTAAATGAGGTCCTTTCAATGGTTGCAGAGCAGCAAGCCTGCTTCTCTGAGTTCCGCTTTGCTCCGTACACCGGTTTGGACTCGGAGTGGGTGCAGCTGCGGCTGGAGGGCGGCTGGAGCGGAGCTTTGCTCGGTGGCTATGGTGGGGGGCACGTTGCGCCGGCTCAGTTGGTGCCTGGCCTAGAGGGTGTCACAGCAGTACCGAGAATGAGAGCGGTGCCACAAGCTGCCAGGCCAGAAGGCTTACAATGTACCTAAAACTGTGAGGGTCTCTGAGGCTAAAATGGCTCTGGTTCCACTTGGCTATGCTAAACTATGCTGACTTCAGGCAGGACTGGTCGTAATTATCATAATAAAAGCGCAATTAAGGTTTAGCCGCAGTAAACAGGCAGTACCATATTACATCTACTTAGTGCAACTTAAGTTTTTAAGAACTGCTTAGCATTTTAAGAACTCACGTCCTCCTAAAAGATTGCTGTATATACGCTTGGCTTATCTAATGTTTCAGGATCCGCAGGGAGGTAGATACAAAAAGCCCTTGGATTTTAAGGCGATAGGGTCACTGGCTAAATCTGTGACTATGGCACAGGTGTTGAGAGTCTGCTAATTATCCCATCTGCCCCGTGAGCTGTAATGGCTCCGGCGCGGACCTTGAGATATTGCCAGCCTGTGCCGCCTCGGTCCGGGTGTCGGCTCCCACCACACTCTCCCACCAACACAGCCGCGGAAAACTAGGCTAGCCCCGCAGGGAAGGTGGGGGCGCCTGGGGGTGTAGCCGCCACTTCCTGGCCTGGGACATGCGGAGCCGCGCAGCGAGCAGGCCCAGGGCCATGTACAGCCCTTGGATGGCGGGGCAGGCTCTGGAGCCCGAGGCCACCGTACCCGGCAAGGAATACGGGAGCCAATAAATCTTAAACCTGATATCAACAAACAGGGCCTGGGTTTTTCCTAGGCACCACTGGGACAGCACGGCCTATACCATGGAAAACAGAGACCCTCAATCAGTTATCTACCACAATGGCTACAGCCCTGGATCAGCAGGCTACCATAGATACATCTATTAGAGGTGGAATAATGGTTCTTAATCAAATAATTGACCTAGTACAAGAACAGGTGGATATCTTATGGCAGCTTGCCCAATTGGGCTATGAATGGAAAACTCCAGCCTTATGTGTGACCAATGTACCATATGAGAACTTTACAAAAGTGGCTAACTTGTCCCGAGAATTGTCTTTGTATCTTGCAGAAAATTGGACCGAGAATTTTGATGATTTGCTGTCCTCCTTGAGACGGTCCATCGTGACAATCAACTCCACGCAAGTGGATATAAGCTTGGCCAAAGGATTCCAGTCCTGGGTCATGTCCTTCATCCCCTACTTCAAATAATGGGTGGGGGTGAAAGTGTTTTGGAGCAGCCCTATGCTGTGGAATAGTGTTTCTCCTCTGGATGGTCTGCTGACTCAAATCCCAAAGTCATAGGGACAAAATGGTTATTGTACCAGCGCTGGCTGCCCTGGAACAGGGAGCCTCTACTGATATGTGGTTAGCTATGTTGAAGCAGTAAGATTTATGCCAACCAGCTCCTGCACCCCTAGGACAATGGTCCATGGCACAGGGTGGAATGTTTGGCTTAGCTAGCCCTGAAGGTTGTCGAGCTAAAGAGCATCGCACAGAGAATGGCCCTCTCTGAGAGATATATCGCCCTGCATAAGGGTTTCCTGCCACATATTCCCTTTCCCAGAAAAATGGCAGAGGGCAGGCCGGATAAGTTCCAGGTGTCATGAACCTAGGGGCAGATTCCGTGTAAGCCCATTTTAATGTTTCCATTTTGGGAAGTGTGACCGCTATCTTTACCTTCTGAGGGAGTTGCCTTTCTGCAAAGAAGTAAAAATAGGGGGATATGTGAAGGGCCGCATCCACATGTCCCATTACAAGATGGCGCTGACATCTGGTTTCACCGCCAGGTGAACGCACATGTGCTAGGTAACTTTCCACTGAGTCCCCGCCTACTCCCGAGGCATCATCTGGGATAATGGACAGTTGACCAATCCAAGAGCGACACGTTCGAAGCAAGGACTGTTTCCTATATAAGGGATGGGTTCCTTCATATCTGGGTCTCCGCCATGTTGGCTGATGCTCTCTCTCCCAAGGGGCATTAAAGCTATTTCTGCAGAAGGATCCTAGTGTCCCGCATGGTTCTTGCTGGTGAGATGGTAGCATGGGGCACTTTAGAATCTCTTCTGTGCTTTCATAAGAATCTTGAGTTGCTCTTATTTAGTTCGGTAAAGAATGTCATTGGAATTTTGATGCAGATTACATCAAATCTATAGATGGTTTTCAGTAATATCGGCTATTTCTGTAATATCAATTCTGCCAATTCATGAACATAGAATGTTTTTCTATATTCAATTGTCTTCTTCAGTTTTTTTAATTGAGTGTTCTGTAAATACATTATAGACGTCTTTCTTGTCTTTGGTAAGATTTATTCGTAGGTATTTTTATTTCGGGAGAGCTACAGTACATGCAATTGTTTTCCTGATCAAACGTCTCAGTAGATTTCCTAAGTCCAATCCATTTTGTAGGTGAAGAAGCAGCCTGCAGGTGTGGTGTTTTGAGTGAGAAATGACTCCTAAAGGTTCAGGTATTTGGACACTTGGTCCCGAGTTGGTGACACTCTTTGGGGAGGTTCAGGAGGTGTGGCCTTGCTTGAGGGAAGTATGTCACTGAAGAAGAGATTTGAGAGTGTATCACTTGGTCCTGCTTCCAGTTTGTTCTCTCTGCTTCCTGCTTGTGATGGAGGTGGTGAACTCTCAGCTTCCTGTTTGGCCCCCATGCTGCTCCCTACTATGTTCTCCTGTCGTAATGTACTCTCTCCCCTCTGGAACCATAAGCCAAAATAAACTCTTTCCCCCATAATTAACTTTTGGTCATGTTTATTTTATCACTAAGACAGAAAAGCAACTGATACACTAATTACATTGAAAAAGTGTTAATAGAGATAAATGTTGAGCTCTCTTTTCTGATCAGCTACCACCATGATGGTTTATGGTTATGGTGGCTGTGGTTGTTTGAATGAGAATGACCTTCACAGGCTCAGAGGGAATGCCACTATTAGGAGGTGTGGCTTTGTTGCAGAAGGTATGGCCCTGTTGGAGGAAGTGCATCACTGGGGGGTGGGCTTTGAGGTTTCAAATGCTTGATCCAGGCTCAGTGTCACTCTCTCTTCTTGCTGCCTGCTGATCTGAACGCAGCTACTTCTCCAGCACCTACATGTCACCACGCTTCTCACCATAATGATAATGGACTAAATCTCTGAACTATAAACCAGCCACAATTAAATGCATTCCTTTATAATAGTTGTCATAGTATGGTATTTCTTCACAGCAATAGAAACCCTAACAGGGACTGTCCTGTTCATTGCTTTGGGTCGGGGGCAGTCCTGTGCATTGTTACGAGGGCCTGCCATGCATATTGTAGGACAATTAGTAGTATCTCTGAACTCTGCCAACTAGATCCAATAACCTCTCTTCTCAGTTATGGTTTTATTGCAAAACCTATATGGAAATATTACCAAGTGTTTGCTGAGGGGCAACTTCACCCTGGTTGAGAACCATTGATATATGAGCTGTCTGAGGGCAAGGACTCTCAACATGACCATTGCAGAGCTGTGTTTGGTAGACGAGGCTAGTGGAAGCCACAGCTTGGCGTGCCCCATCCTAGGACACAGAGTAACGGAGGGCAGGCTAGAGGAGCAGCGTGGACGTCAACACCTGCTGGTGACTTGGCATCTTCCTAGAGAACAGGTTGGTTCCTAGCTCACCTTGAAGCCTATTTATCAAGAACTTCGCATGGAACTCTCCAGGAAGATGAGAGCTCCATGGACCGCCTGACAGGATGATGATGCTCTAAATGACTTTTCAGTCTTTTAAATTATGTTTTCAATTAGCATACAAAATAATAGGCTTCATTGTGACATTTTCATACATAGATATTATTGTACTTTGCTCTAATTAAAAAAAATTAAACAATGGAATAGACACTGTTGGAGATGAGTATCTTAAACAACAGCTTAAAAAGTCAGGGACAGCCAGAGGTGGTGACACACACCTTTAATCCCAGCACTCAGGAGACAGACATACAGATCTCTGTGAGTTTGCTGACAGCCTTGTCTACATATTGAGATCTTGGACAGCCAGAGCTATGTAGAAACTCTGCTCCCCTCCCCAAAAGAGAAAGTCAGGGGTCGCATCAGAGCACAGTGGGCCAGGGGCCTGGTGCTGTTTTCTTTCTTACAAGCTGTTTATTTTATGTGTACGAGTGTTTACCTGGATTCGTGTCCATGCGCCATGTGCAGGTAGGTGCCCGCCCACAGGGACCAGAAGAGGATTCCCTGTAATTGGAGTTACAGACAGTTGTGAGCTGAACTCAGGTCTTCTACAAGAACAGCAAGTGTTCTCTTACCCACGGATCCCTCCCTCCAGCCCAGGGACTGGTGCTTTTCGTGGTGGATTTTGATGACCTTTATTTTAGAAATCACATTTAGGCATTATATCAATTTAAAAAAAAAAAGTTAGGACATCTATGAAGCTATTGAAACTAATGAGAAATTGTGCTCTCATTTGTTGCTATGGAAACATAAGGCCTGGCTGGAGCTCAGGGGTAGAGTGTGTTTAGTGTGTGCAAGGCCCAGGTTTGGCCCCCAGCACCACACACGAAGCAGGTATTAAGAACACTTTCTGGAAAAGTGTGGTGGCTTCTGTCTGTTCATGGCTTCCAGACTGCATCCACGGTGGTGGCGGTGGGGGGGAGGTAAAAATGTAGGCCAGAATTTACATTTGAAAACTTCATATTGGAAAAAAAAAGCTTCATATTGTGCTATTTTTAACAGCAAAATTTGGAAACAAATACCAAAAACCCAGAGAGTGGCCAGATGGATAACCAGCTTTCAGAGGAGTTTCTAAAACTCCTCTGTAGAGAAGTGTCTTCAAGATGTAAAGGGGGGGGGCATGGATAGACACAGTTACCTTGAAGATCCCTTGTCACCCACATAACCACAGCCAGAGGCTGGAAGGCCTTATGCACTGGCTCTTATGCACTGGCTACCACCGGGTTGAAGTATTCTTATTCTCTTGTTTTCTCCTCGGTTGCCCAATTTCCCCTCAGTTAGCGTGTGTTACTTCCCTCAACAGAAGAAATAATTAATGTCATTTTTCTCAAAGAATAGAAAAGCACCCTGGATCGTGAAATGTTTTGCTTCGGAATAAAACTTGCCATCGGGCAGTTAAGGCCTGGAGGGTGGGAATCTTGGGTCTTCCTGGAACTCACAAAGGTAGAGACCAGCTTGAGGTTTCACTTCGAAAAATTACCTTAGCTCATCCCAGCCGCGGAACACAGTCGCTGCGCCGCAGTCTAACGGGGGTGGCGGCACGCATCAGTTTCACAGGTCCGGAGGAAGCCAAGAATTCTTAGACTCCGTTCCTTCTGTTTCAAGTAACAAACGCCAGATGAGGGATGGTACTTTAGGTATTTAGGTCAACCAGCTATCCTTACCCGACAGATACCTGCAGCTGTCACCTCTCATCAAAGAACGTCTCTTGACAGAGAATGGAGACCTTTACAGAAAACCGCAACTGGACACAGCGCTGAGATCACAGTACATGAGTTTTCATTAAGTTAAACACTTGAGAAATGGAAAACGGAGGGTTGGAAGTTTCCATTTGAGGCTAACCTGGGTTACATTGGAAACCCTGTCTCAAAACAGAAAAAGAAAAAAAAAGTTACCACGAAAGAGGAGAAAAGATGGTCCTGGAAGAGAGATGCCAGACAAACTTTGGAAGTCATAGCGTGGGTGGGCAGGGGGCCAATGACCGCAGCCGCAAAGAACCCGTGCGAAATGGCGGAGGCCATAGTGAGAAACCAGCTTTCTCAAGAGAGCCCCGGAGAGGCTCAGAGGTCAGAGCTAGCCGTAGGGTAGGGATGCAGGGGAGGGATGAGGTGAGGGGAAATGAGCCAGTTCACATGAGCAGCAGAGAGAACCCGCAGCCATCTGCGCTCCCCACCAGAGGAGGAAGGCTCAGGTTCCAGGGCTGAGCAGAGAGGTTGCAAACTCGGAAGTGGGCCTCAAGCCAGAAAGGGATGTTTGTCTGTTATCGCTGGCTATCGGTGAATTCAGTGACTGGCTCATCCTGAGGTTTCATCCATAAAAAAAGCCCAAGGATCTGAAAAAAGGGACTTGCTGGGCCGCGGTGGTGGTGTGTGATTTGTAACCCTAGTTCTCAGGAACCCAAGACAAGGAGACACCGAGGTCCCGAACAACCAGGGCTCCATGGCAAGATCCCGCCTCTAGCCACTAGAGGAAGGTTACCCGGAACATTTAAAAGGAAGAAAAGAAGGGAGGAAGGGAAAGAAAAAGAAGAGAACAAAGACAAGAAAAAAAAAAATAGGGACTAAGTGGAAAAAAAAATCAGTATCCTTTAAGGTGAAATTCAATTTCTTTCCTTCTCAAACTATCAAAACTCTAGTGTACCCCAGGTAGGAAAATTTCCCGGTGGAGGGACTGACCCAAGAGGACCGGCCTCCCACTGCATGACTGAGTCTCTAACAAAAAGGTCTGTTCTCAAAGCTTTGAGTGGGGCCCCCTTGCTCACACAATTGACTCCCCAGTCCTGGCTGATAACCGACAACAGAGAGCTGACTGGGGCCTGGTGGCATGTCCCTGAAGTGAAGTCCCAGTTATTCGAGGGACCGAGGAAAGAATGACTGGATCCTAGAGGCCTACCTGGGCAACAGAGCGGAAACTCGGTTGGGGAAAAAAAAAAAGTCCGGTTAAGAGTCACTAGGGGCTGGGCAAACGGCAGGAGGCCGGCCTAGTAGGGAGTCCAGAGTTCAGTCCCCAGAACAAAGACAGAGGGAGGGATGGAAGAAGGAGGGAGAAAGGAAAGAGAGGAAGAATCAGTCACCAAGCTTCGAGGTCAATCTCCAGCTCAAAGGCAGGGTTAGTAACACAATTTTAGTAACTACGAGTAACAAGGAAACGCCCGGAGAAACGCCTGAGGTAGGTAGGCAATGTTACAGCCACAGCAAAACCAGGAAACTAGAGGGAGCATTCAGAAAATAACTAGTGCTATTTATTTTAACATATTATAAAATAAAAATTCAATAGAAATTAAAAGACAAATTGAAGAAATTTTTATAAATCAACCCAAAACACAATTATATAGATAAAATGTTAAGAGAAAATTAAATGAGACAGGGTTTTTTTCCCCCTTTTTTTTTTAAAATTTTGCTTTCTTGAGGCAAGGTCTCAGTCTGTCCTTGAACTTGTTGTAAACCTACCTCGGTTTCCTAGCTCTGTAATTATTGTTGTGAACCATCACATCTGGCTTAAAATTTCTAAGAACATAATCTTAATAACGAGAGAGAGAGAGAGAGAGAGAGAGAGAGAGAGAGAGAGAGAGAGCGCTAGTTTCCAAGACAGGCTCCAAAGCTACAGAAAGAAACACTGTCTCAAAAAGCTAGAAAAGAAGAGAGGAAAAAAAACCACCTAAATTTAAAGTACATCAGTTTTGCCACTGAGAAACGGACACCAACACATTTCATTGTAAAACTGGGCAAAATAAAAGATTCCAGGTGAGGAAGTCCGTGGACTTCCAGGGCTAGGTGCTAGCACACACTGGAGGAAAGGCCGTGCAAGTCTGAGAAAGGTGATTGACAGCTCCACATTGAATCCCCGGTCCTGCTTTACTCTGGTAGGAAGGTGGGTTAAGGCAGAACCCGGATGTGAGAGACTCCAGCTACATCCTCTGAGGCTGTTTCCCAGAGGCCCCTGGAGGAGGTGCTTCGCCAAAGGACTAAACGAGTGTGCGGCAGCGAATCCAAAACAAGAAAAGAGAGAACCCTACAGCAACAGGAAAGAGAACAGAAAGCCCAAGGGGGCGGGGAAGAGGGGGAGGGCAGATTTATATTCGTGTTTGCCTCGCTGTCAAGAGGGGGACAAGAGTTCGTGGTGGCACAAATAAAAAGCTAGAACGCTGGCTTCTGGGGCATTGGGTGGGGGTGGGGTGCCTGGGTTCTTGAGACAGGGTTTCTTTGTGCTGTGTAACAGTCCTGGTTGTCCTAGAACTCATTCTGTAGACCAGCCTGGCCTCGAACTCACAGAGATCCGCTTGCCTCTCGAGTGCTGGGGTTAAAGGTGCCTAGCGCCTCTAGGGCATTTTTAAAAGACTGGTTTTTATTTATGTGCAGGTGTGTGTATGTGTCTGTATGTGTACTCCACGTGTGTGTGGGTGCCCACAGAGGCCTGAAAGAGGTGTTAGATCCCGTGGAGCTGGAGTTACAGGAGGTTGTAAACTGCCCTGTGTGTGCTGGGAACCCAGCCCTGGGTCCTCTGGAAAAGCAGGAAGTGCTCTTAACCTGTAAGCCATTAATTCTCCGGCCCTAGGACATTTCTGTGGTGAGTAATTGGTCGTCATAACAGTATCAGTCTCAAATCTCACCAAGAACTACACTACGGGGGTTGGGCAAGAACGTGCTAATTGTGTTGGAGGTGGTCCGGTAAGACAGCCCAGTCTTCATTTTCCACAGCAGAAATAATAATAGTGCCTAAATATGAAAACCCAGCAAGTTCTGAGTAGCTGGCACGGCGACGCACATCTGTATTCCCAGCACGTAGGAGACAAGGAGATTGTGAGTTAAAGGCCACCTGAAATATACAGTGACATCCTGTTTAAAACCAAACAGGAGGGAAAGAAAGGCAGGCTAAACGCAAGCATATGTATCTAGATATTAACATGAATATTAGAAGAAATATCTACAAGAGACGCTCCTCTGGAGGGTACAGGAGTAGAGGTACGGGAAGAGGCAAGCAATAAGACTGGTATTTTACTCTAAGCTCTTGATTATTTGTTGAATTCTAATGCTCTGCCGGTGTTATGTAAATCAGCAATTAAAGCTGATTTAATTGTCCTTTGTGATTATATTTGCTGGGCCATTTGTTTGTTTGTTTGTTTTGAGACATCACCCCAGGTTCAATGATTCACTGGGAAGGCTTGCGACTAGGTCTTATTACGTATGGCTGTGACTTAGTACAGTGGCAGCGAAGGAAAGCCTCAGGCGGCCTTCTGAGAGCCCTCCTGGCAGAGGCACCACAGTCTGGCTGGTCTCCAGCACTGGGCTGTGACAACTCGTGGGGGACTTGGGTGGAGGAGGTTTTTACTGGGGGCAGATTATGTGAACGGTCTGTCCACACGAACAGTTTAAGGAGCTAAGCTGCAGGGGGGTGGGCACGGTCAGGACACTATGGTCACTCAGCGAAAGTTCCATATCCCTCTAGAAAATGTTGGCCTTCAGGTTTGCAGATGCCAGCAGACAGCAAATCAGGTCACTACCAAGGCTGCGGTCTGGGTTGCTGCTTAACTCTTTCTGGGCAGCCGTTAGAGTCTTTACAAACTGGGTGCTGGGCGCTGGGAAGACCCGGGCCTGGACTTGCAGTCAATAGTAAGATCCCAGTTCCCACTTACCTTCAGTGGTCATGTGACCTTGCTGAAGACACGGAGATGGACATTTTCTCTGGGGTTAATGGGAGCTTAGTGGGTTTTATACCCAAAGCAGCCGCTAGGAAAGACTGAGCTGGAATCCTGTGACTGCTGTTCCCTGAATGTTGCCCCACTTAGACTCCATCCTTCAATGTTCGCTCAGGCTCTCCTGCACCGACCTTACATGAAATATAAACTGCCTTCTCTAAGCATTTCTTAGACATTTCTCAGGGTTTCTCAACCTGCGGATTGCGACCCTTTCACCGAGGTGACATGTCAGATATCCTGTGTATCAGATACTTACATTATGATTCATAACAGTAGCAAAATTACAGTTACGGCATAGTAACAAAATAGTTGTGTGGTTGGAGGTCACCACAACACGAGGTGAAATATAAAAGGGTCGCAGCATTAGGAAGGTTGAGAGTCACTGCCGCATAGAAACTCCTTCTGATCTTTATGTGTCCTTTTGGCGAGAGGCCTCCCAGCTCCTCAGCTCTGGGTAAATAAACACTTGTGCCCCTCAGAGAGAGAAACCACAAGTCAGTGTGACCAGCTTTGTGTGGGCTTCCCAGTGGGCAACTCCCAGGGGCTCGCCTTCTTCACAGCAACCGCCTCCCAGGGTTGAACACCGAAAAAACCCCTGCTATTTCCTCAGCGTGGGTGCCCTGAGATTGATTCTATTCCACAGTCAGGAAGCCTGTTGGTCCACTGTCATTGTCTCCTCTTGCCTTCCCGATTCACCGATTCTAGCGCTCTGTTCCGAAGAGGTACACCCAAGTCTTGGGCTCTGCAGTGTGTAGCTCTCTGCCAGCTACCCCTAGGAGGCTGCTGTGCTCTGCCTGTAGGACTGTTCTGAATCTGACAGTGCTCTCACCAATGTCCACGTCACCTACATGCTGTTTCCAAACTTTGCACAGCTCTGAGGTGAGTTACACACAGA